AAACAAATGGTTGGTGCAGTGAACTCTATACATACTGGAATGAGTGATCTATAGTTCTGGCTGTTGCCGAGAGAGAGGTGCGTTGGGTGAATCCTTGTCTCCTTCTAGTACTACCTGATTGGATAATCGCATATAAGTGACGCCCTTCTTCTCGTCATTTATATGCGACTATCCAATCAGGTAGTACTAGAAGGAGACAAGGATTCACCCAAACGCACCTCTCTCTCGGCAACAGCCAGAACAATAGATCACTCATTCCAGTATGTATAGAGTTCACTGGGTTGGTGTCTATCTAGACCATAGACATATAAAAGATAGACTGCTTCGACGTCAATTCGACGGTGTCGATGTCGATTCGACGTCGACGAATCATTTCTCACTGGGTTATGAGGTAGTGGGGGATGTCCTCTTGAGGGAAAAGGACAACATGAATTTATTTGGGTATCTGTCTTTCTCTAGTGTGTATGAATCACGCCCACTAGAGGAAGACAGATACCCAAATAAATTGATGTTGTCCTTTTCCCTCAGAAGAATGTCCTCACCTAGGATTCCACTACCTCATAAGCAGTCTATCTTTTATATGATATACGTTTCCTCAGAGTCGGACTAGAGTCAGGTCAGAATCGGGTTGGGGTTTGGTGTTTTGGTGTTTACACCACAAGAGCACTCACCTCAACCCGATTCTGACCTGACTCTAGCCCGACTCTGACCCTTGGTGGAAACGTAGTCTATGGTCCAGACGGCTTCATCGCTTATGTCCTGGGAATTTTTGGAACCCAACATCTCTGGAATGTTAAATAGGTACACTCTGAGACTGACATATCTGCGATCATCTTGACGAGACCTTTCGTTTGGTACCTACTTTGTGACCAAAATCAAATGCGAAAAAATGAGGCCGATCTTGTTCTCACTGTTTCTACAACTAATCCTCTGTAGAAAGTAAAATTGATTGATCGTCATAATCAAATGTTATCACTCCTATATAATTGATAATAGTATTTTTGCTTATGGAAACCAATAAAAAGTGTGATAATATTAAGATGGCTCCTGCATAAACCAACTAAAAGTAGAAAAAATTAAAATTTAAGTATGTTGTAGTTGTAAGTTTTATCTATTAGTATGCGAAATTTCAGATCCAGTCGCCAATGAAATAACAGAAAGAAAAAAATATTAAACTTGCACTTTTTAACATTTTAATAAACATCAAGTATCAAGTTACATAATATCAATATTATAATTTTCTACTTAACAAGATATGTGGCAAAGATAAAAAAATATGGAAACACATGTAGAATTGTGAATAAATGAGAGATAAAGTTAGGGGGGAAATTAGAGAACGGATAGATAGGATGAGCAAAGATAGAGAACGATATGAGGTACAAGAAATATTAGGAGGAAAGAAAGTGCTAGAAGCATACAAATGCACGAGAACTTATGAAAAAATAGGAAAGGATAAAGCAGACAAATTTGAAATTAGAATTCTAAAACCCCGTATATATAAAATTTTAGTTTAGGCCATAGTTAAATTTTTTTTAATTTGTTTGCGACATGGAATATCCATCTATTATCTTGTCTTTTTAAATTTTAACTTTACATTTTGTGATCCCAAAAACTCATGTAAGATTCAGCAAAATATGTTAAAAAATATCTGTGCAACAAAGAGTGAACATTATGTTAAATTAATTTTGAAATATATATATTATTTATTGACAGAATTTATGGTGAAATTTTATAAATATTCGAAAAATAAACAGCTTCTTTTAACATTTATTTTAAGCGTTTTTCTTTTTATTTTAATTAAAATTAAGAGAATACACATATATAATGTTATGTAATTTAAATAACATTTTTATTATTTTTATAGATTGCGAAAAATTGATTAGACACATGTTGGTGGTAGAACCAGAGCGCCGTTTAAATATATCTCAAATCTTAGCACATTCATGGATGGACGGAGATGGAGTAATAGAATTAGAACCTGGAGGGTATGTAATGTGACTTGAATATGTTATTTTATATTTTTATAACATAAATAGTAGCGTTTAAAGAAAAAAAGTAGCTTTATAAGTATAATCAAATTTAAAATTTGCCCATGCATGAAATTGTGATGAAAGAGGTGTCTGAATTACATATCCATAAATTGTATATAACAATACAATTGTTATATTAACATGTCCTTTATGTTTAGTGTCAGTAATCATATAAAATAAATGGTATACTAATATAATGAATAATATAAAAATTGTTTAAGAATAGGGAATAATATTAATGCAGCTAAATCAGTTTTTTTAACGATGACTTATCATTGTAAAATTATATCTTTAATCTATTATAATGAAATGTCTTAACATTTTTAATAATTACATTAGAGAAAAACAAGTTAAGAGTAATGATTGGATAACTTTTATTATCAAGAAATAACATATTGATAATTGAGATAAATTTCAATTATTAGTTAACAGGAAGCACAAAGTAATTAAAATAACTATTAATTTTAAACAATTAACAGTTAACTGCAAATAATTACTAAACGCTACCATTTAAAACCTATTTACTGTTTATGAATAAAATTTATGATAATATTTAATCAATATGCATATACAGGATTTCCCACCATAAGTGGTCATCCTTTTTTGTTATTACCAGAAAGGAGATCTAACAAATATAATATCAAATTACATGGTTTGAAAACTGTTATGAATATAGTGATTACTTACAAAAATTATTTGAGCTTATTATGTTTGTACTATTTGTTGTTCTTTTTTAATTTTATATTTTTTTATATATTCTCAGATGTAGCCCTGATGCGAGCATACCAGCACCATTAAATCAATTAGTGATAGAAAATATGTTAAGATTGCCTGGACTCAGTGCAGATACGTTATTACAAGCCATTAAAGGAAATACTTTTGATCATGTATCAGCTATTTATAATTTACTCGTTGATCGATTAGAACCAACAATGCCTAATTTACCCAGTATCCAAAGTATACCAGGTGATTATATGCCAGATGGTGCACATCAATTAGAGAAGGTAAATATAATTCTTTTACAAAAAGCAAATATTTGGCTTATATATCTTTAATTTTAAGTACACATTTTATTTACATAGTAAATTGTATAACCAAAAGTATACTAATAAATTACCTAGAGAAAAGTCCTCTATTATAAGATAGGTTTTTAATTTGAGATAGCAGGTTTTCAACACCCAAATTCAATCACAAATCTTCTTTCTCAACGATTACACAATCTAACAATAAATTTTCCACTAAACAGAGATTTCACTCCAAGGGCAATAAATTCATGGTGAAATCAACAGATGATGTCTATTAATTTAAAGAAACTCCCCGCTATCTCATATTAGCAGCCTATTTCATAATAGGGAACTTTCCTCTATTATTATTGTTGTTATTGTTATTATTGTTATTATATACAAAAGTTTTATTTATATGCTATATAAGAAAGATAGATGTTTAGTAGTTATTAATTAAATCTATTAAGAGCTCAATTGGCTGTTTCTGAGATCCGATTAGTAGTTATCAGTTGAATCTGTTAAGAGCTCAATTGGCTGTTTCTGAGATCCGATAATCTCAGGTACTCACAATTAAGTGGCTTGCACATTGTTGTTACTTACATTTGACGCAAAATACCACTATGTGTGCGTCTTTTAATAGATTCGACTAAAATCTTTTATTTGTTTACATAAAGATAATAAAATGTGATTTATAATTTTTTAATTTTGCAATTTACTATGTAAATAAAGAATTTTAAGTTTATAAATTATTAAAAAAAGAAAGATTATATTTTATTATTTTTTTATATTTAATCATGTGTGTGTTAATAAATTTGTCATATTGTATAGCTGTATCTTTTGTTGGCAGTTTGGTGAAACTGAAGCTGAAACGGAGGAAAAAAGTAGTCTTTATTTGCCATCTGGAACACCTTATCATACAACAAGAAGGCATACAGTTGGTCCTGGTGATGCAGTACACCAGTCTCCTTCGTCATATCCTTATAATCATATGTCAGGCTACCAAACTTTACGGCCTCTTCAGTTTCCTCTTGTTCAATGTAATATGGACCCTCAAGTTTTACCACATACCAATTTACCATTAAATCTTCCCTTAGTCCAACATCAACCGCCACAAAATTTCCAAATAAAGGATCAACATTTATTGAAACCGCCTCCTGTAATGGGTGCCAGTAAGTTTCATCTTATTGCATGGACAATATGTTTAAATAATTTATTTTGGTACAATTATAAATTATTTGTTTAATTTTTTGTTATCTTTTTATTTTTCTTCTTTTAGTTTTTATTTTTCTCCCTCTCTTTTCTTGTATATTTGTGCTTGCATATTATGTAAATACATGTGTTCACACATTTCTAAGTAAAAAATTGTTATTATATAGTTTCATATATTAATATTAACTTTATTTTATTGTATTACTGCGATTGACTTTATACTTCAAAATTTTGATTTTTACTACTTTAAGATTTATATAATTCATAACGCTAGTATAAATATTTTATTTGTTTATTGTATACTGTATATGTTTACAGCTGGAAGCTTTGGTAGAAGAGCTTCAGATGGTGGAGCAAATCTTCATATATTTCATCAACAACACAGTAACACTAATAATGATGAAGATGGTGGCTGGAGTCAGCCTGGTAGTAGGGAACAATTACAGCCGGTAAGTAAATATACAAGACGTTTTAGTGTATTTTAGTTGTAATTCAAGTAATATGAACAAAAATATTATAATAGATGAAGAAATAATAAATAATAAAATAAAATGGGATGATTTGAAAAATGAAACTTACCAAGCAATTCGTCACCAAATGGATTGTGATGTTAACTCTTAGAAATTTACCAAACTTATCAAACGACCCTAGTAACTATTATTTAAAATACGGTTGCTTGCCTCTTCTGATTTGCACGCAACAATTAGTATACTAATTAGATAATTTATATCATTTTTATTTCATTATCATTTGAACAGAATTTTGATAAATAAAAAATTGTTTTATTTGATATCAAGAATCTTTTGGTGATGAAATATTTTGCATGCAATTCTTGGATATCTTGTAATATTTTGTACTGGTCTTCATCTATTATCAAATTGTGTAAAGTAATAGCATACAAATTTTAATTTAAAAAAATCTGCAAACAGTTACAGAGTGGTAGTTCGGGATTAGTACAATGTGCTCAGTCATTAAATGTTGCTGCCAGTACCGCGACTGGAGACGGAAGTAACAACAGCAGTGGTAGTAATAGTGGAAATAGTGATAGAAGAAGAAGGAGTGGCCTTAGCACTGTTATGCAGCGACCAGGTATGATAGTAGTTAAAAGTTGAATAATAAGGCGAGTCCTGTTTTTTTCTCTGTAATTGTTTAACAATTATGATTGTATGGCTTGTAGCATTATTTAATATCTATGTTATTCAAAATTAGCACTTTATTCCAATCTGTATCTTTTCTGTTATCCAATCCATTGCAGGCTATTACTCATTTTTCTCTGTTTACAAATGCTTTCATCTTATAGCAAACAGTTGTACGGAGAAAATTATAATACAATAACATATACTTGAAATAGTGAATAACAATATAGACTGTTACTCTGATGATGATTTATATTGATAATAATAATGTATTAATAATTATAATTAAAAGTAATAACATCAAGCAAATGTACCTTTTAAATCGTACGATTATTATGAAAATTGTATTAATTTGTATTTTAATACAATAAGAAATAATTTCAAGTGAAAAAAGATTAATATTTAAAGAATATATAATTTTATTTAAAACTATTTTCTTATATTGTTTTAAATATATTTATTTACTAAGAAATAATATAAAAAATTGTATTATACCAATTGAGAAAGTATAAAGTTGCATACAAAATTTAATTCTTTTATATTATTATTTGACATACAAAAAAGGAAAGGATTTCAAAACGATTACCAACATTTGTACACAAGCAACAAATATAAATTAATATAGAAGAACATAATTATCTATATTTGGCTGTATGCTCCAAAGCTAGAATACTTATTTTTAGTAACCTAATCACTAGATGGTGCCAGACTAGCAATAGTAAGAGCAAGAGAGAGCGAGTAAAATAACGAGAGCTAGTGATACATTTTGCAAGTAATTTTCATGAATCCAATATGCTAGATCTGTTCTTCTATGTTTGTATATATTTTGTTGATACAAGTGTATCATACATATGGCTATATTGTACATGTAATATTACAGTGCACACATGACTATATTGTACATATAAAATAGTAAAAATAACATTTTGTACACACATCATTATTGATCTTTATAGATATGTCTTGAGGTTTTGATTGATGAGGCTTGTCCTTGAAACCACAATCTGGATAGTCAAAACGTTGGATATAATCTATTAAATAAATAATACATACCATCTGCCAGTTGGGACTTCTAATAATCCTTCCTATTCTTATTAATTATATAGGGTGTTATGTAATACCCTGTATACTGGCAACAATAAACTTTATTCCTCACTTATTTTGAAAAACCTGATGTGCTCGTGAAAATTGATTTGCGCCATTGTTTTAAGCATTCAGAAATCTACAAGAAACACTTTGTCTAGTTTAAAATAATTAAAAATATATTTTGTAAACTAGAGCCTATTAAATACTCTGTATACAGGATGGCCCCAATCGTTCCGGCAAGGCTGTGAGATGTTATAGGAAATTTAATTCTAAACAAAAAAATTTCCTACAAACTTGTAATTTTATAATAGTTTAATTATTAGAAAGCCAATACAAAGATTAGTTGAAATAAAAACATATCGGTAAAACAGACGACCTTAGGATCCCCTTAGGTTCCTTTAAAAACTTAGACATTTTTTACTAGCTCAACCAATTTAATTAAAAAATTTTAATTAAAAATTTTTTTTTATTAAGATTAAGATTAGCAATTAGAATCCATGTTATACAAGGTAAATTTTATTTTGTGGCCCAGCCTGAGAGATGGATTACTAAACAAAATTGTAGCCAACCCGGGAAAAAATGAAAAATCTCGTAATATATGTCCCAATCATGTAATATCTAATTGTATCTTGAGAGATATATTACTCGAAAAAATATAGCTTAAAAATATATTTTTGATATATGATAGAACATATTTACATTTTTTATTATTTATATAATTTGTTTAAATTACTATAATGATTAAAAATAATGCGCGCACGCCCCCCCCCCCCCCACACACACACAAAACACATGCACACACACACACATGCACAAGATTGATTTCATTAAATTTATAAGTTTCTATATTTTTATTGTGCCTATTTTATCTTAATCCTTATTTTTTAGTATTTGCACATTACTTGTATTTTATTGAGTTTTACTTTTGATTTTGCATGTTTTTTGTGTCCACTGCACTTCCGTGCTGTCCTTGGTTGGTAATATGCATGTAGTTATAAATCCGGAACTGGTAATGGAGGTAGAAGCTAGGATGAATAGAGCTTATCTACCACCGCGACTGTTACCACAAACTCACTTTAGAGGACCAACACATCCACATCATAGGAAATCTTCACTATATCATACTAGTACTGGTAATAGAGATTTTTGCACTATTTTAATTTATGAATTTTTTCTTTATAGTTGCAAAATATGATTAAGATTAAAGATTTGTAATTTTAGTACATTTAACGTTATAAATTCTATAATTTATAGAATTTGTTCACAGGGTGTACCAGATCTAACGTGACGCTTGTTATTGGTAGATTGTTGAAGTCATTTTGAGAAAAAATTCTAATAATTAGAATTTTTGTCTCAAAATTATCTCAAGAATCTACCAATGATAAGTGTCACGTCAGGTCAGATACACATTGTATATATATTAAATTTAATTAAAATCACAATAAAAGATATGTATACATATGTATAATTTCATACAGCATCGAGCTTCTACAAAAATTTTGGAAATAATCATAGTTTACAATTTTTACTTTTATAAAATTGTTTGAAAGCGTTTATAAAATATAAAGATATAAAATGTTCTTTATAAGAAATGCATGTTTTGAAATAATAATTTTTGAATGGACATGGAAAAAAATCAGCTGCCACTCGTATGTAATAAAAAATAATTAATAATTATTTTCCAATAATTTTAATCTTTAAATATATGCAATGTAAATGAACATTTTTATATATATTTTGAAAGATTGTAATTCTGATTTAAATGATTTTGAAATGTTTAGTGTATACATAGAAGATAAGACTATCTCTTGCTGATGATTAATAAGGGAAACTATATAACTAATAAGATAGATTAACAGATAGAAGAAATATACTAATTGTAAGACTTCAAATAGAAAGAAAAATGGAGCGTTAAAAAGAAGATAATGGAAGAGGAACATATGAGTAAACTATTACAATGAAGAGACAAACACAAATTGAGTATCAAAGCATTTAATGACTTGGTTGCATTTAAGATCAGAGTGAGTCTAAACACAAGAATAGAAAGTTATAGCAAAATGAACAAAATCGTAATGAAAATAATGGACTGGGTAAATATTTTAAAATACTAAAAATTTAAACATAGTACAGGAAAAAATTAATAATCTACATTAGAAGATAATTATAATATGTTAATAAAATATACCAAAGATGTTTTCTTGGCATCTGGAAAGAGAAATGTCAGAATTTGTTGGAGGACGATTAAGCGTGCAAGTATGAATGAGTTAAGAACATATTGTAAACCAAGTCCACTTCTTGGCTGTAAGCTGAAGTTAATAAGTTATATATACATAATTACTATAATTAAATATGACAGTCTTAGCTTATTAACATTATCATTGTAAATAATACATTTTTACCATTATTTATCATTAATACTTTTTTATTAAATACGAGTAACAGCTAAGTTTTGTCAAAATTGTATGTACGCATACATATACATATATGTACATGGTACGCAGTGTAGCATGTAATACATTTCATACAAAGAAATTTTACAAAAAATTTTTTATAATAGCATCTTTCTGATTTCAAGGAGATAAGAATAATGTTTTTTTTTTTAGCATGACAGAGATATTTTACAATTAAATAATTATTTAGTTATATTCAAATAAATTATGTGTTATTAAGATTTTGTATGCAAACTAGATGTGTATGCAATAAGTTTTATAAAGCTAGATATTTTTTTTAAATTTATACATACATATGTCCGCACATATGCGCTGCACATGCATACGTACATACATACGCAGAAAAATGTACACGCATGTATGTCAAGTTGGAAATATTTCTAATATTTATATTGATTTTAGTAAGTAATAGGGATTCGTATAAGGAACCAAGCAGTCATGTTGCTACTGAAAGATACTCACCTGTTCGACGGGCATCAGAAGGATCAGGTGCTCCTGGGCCAGGCATCCAAGCACTTCAACAAGAATATCAACAGTTACAGAGATTAGCATCACCTTCACATAGCCCTGCAAGTATTCCGGGTTCTCCTGTACACGAAAGAAGTGTAGCAGCAATTACACAAGGTATTCATTTCTTTATATTTTGCTAATTTAATACATAATACGCGCGCACTTTATCATAATTATTTTTACGGATTTCTGGTTTAATAATTATTTAGTAACACTACCTGTTAGACACTGGTTTATTTTTACAATAAATGAGTTTAATGTTGGGCAACAAACAATTTGGTACTTTAAATAGATTTACACATTCTTCTATTATTAATTACAGTATACATATATTCAAATACAATTCACATAATATTTGTGGTTTATCATTATAGAAATATTTTACAGTATGATATATGTATATGAAGAAGCTTTGCAGCAAACTGCATTTCAAAATGTGTTTTCACTTCTGGTTCTTTCCTTATTAAAAGATTTTTCCCACTAATTCATAAACTATTTGTAAATTATTGTATAATATATTACTTATAAGTTAAGTTTGTGCGTATTAACATTGGTAACATAATTTATATCTTACACAAAGCGCGAATTGTAGCGTCAATTCTATGGATTCGCGAGAATGGGACGGAAATAATGACTCGCGCGATTTAGATTAAGATAATCGGTAACTTTCTTTATTTGGCTTACAATACTCGTCTTTCCGGCGGCCGACCAACAACTGACTCCGCGTACATTACGACGGTTACCCCGACCCCGCACGCACGTTACCGGAGCATGTCCGTCTATATCCCAAATATTATGGATCATGCGAACAAAGCGTGATCGGTCGATCTACTCAGTGCTTTGCAAATCCGAATCCCACAGAATTATATATAATTATGTATGAGTATGTCAGATACAAAGAAATTTCTAAGAGAAAAGATTTGAAGTTAATATATTCATGACTTTTTCTGTTTATCAATAATAGGTCTCAGTGGTTTAACTACAACATCAGTAGTACCGGGTAGTATCGTACACGGTACACCGGCGCAGCCACCGGCTACACCTTTAGATTTAAGTCCACTTAGGCATCATAGATCACCTGCCACTACTCCTGTGAGTTACTCCCCCAGCAATAGCCCAGCATTGGATATGATACAAGAAGAACATCCTGTAGAAATATCCAGGGTATGTAACACTGTATTAAACGTGAGTTAGAGTAATTTATTTCAGACGTTCTTAAATATTTCTAATATGTATTGTATTGTTTATATAATCTCACTTAAAATGTGAAATTTTTAATTTTGACATTTGTTTACAGGTACCACCACAAATTTCAGTAACAGACGTTCTCGGGGGGCAAGTGACGTTAATTAGTTGCTCGCCTTCTCCATCTCCATCGCCAGACTCACTCGAAGATGCATTACCTCATTACAACACTCTTCCGAGTTTTATTATTTCAGAGCCATGTGATCCTTCAAGACCTAGTATAACACGCGGTATCGGTAGACCGCACAATACGATACCTACCGAAGTTGAGGTTCCTTTATCCGATGAGTCAAGCAGATTGAATTCCGAAACTATATTAGGTCGTGTAAAACAAATAATAGATGCGAGAGCACCACCGAAAGGTTTTATATTTTCAAGAGAGGAAGTGGAAGGTAGTGGACTTAGTTTAGAATATCCCGGAGGTGTACAAATTGAACTTAGGGTATGCGAATCAGAGGAGAGAGAAGCGAAAGGAATAAAGATGCGTAGGATTAGCGGGGACCAATTGCAATATAGTCAACTTTGTCAGCAATTGATTTCATGTATTACTGTTTGACGACAACCAGCATATAATATAATATGTTTTTATACATTACGTTACATTCCTAGTGTAACATACACTATTCATCACAGTATTGCACACGCTGCATATACACAAATGGTGTTTTCAAATTATCTTTTTCACAGACACATATACAACATATACATACACATACACGCGCGCGCGCACGTGCAATAACATTACTGTGTTATTATTATATTCATGTAACATTCAATGTATTATACGTTTTTTAGTGTTTGTTTTGAGAGATATAAGAGCCACCTTTATAATATGAAATTGTAAATAGGAAAATATTAGTTGTATATTCATACCTTTTAAAACATTGAAATATTATTATATATATATGCATGTTTAATAATTCCAAAAAAAAAATTAACGGATTATTTTCCTTGTTTTTTTAATTGTACCAAACTTACATTTTATCAAGTACTGTTTTAATGAAAAGTTTTAATGAAAATTTTGTGATCATGGAATTGATAATAGCACCCAGTGTAGATGCAAAGAACGAATCATCCATTCACATTTGTTTAATACATGTGCACTAGGTGCTATTCAATTTTCTATCCTATTCGTAATATTTCTCTTCATCATATATGTATAATATTTTTAATGTTAGAGATAACATAGACAAAATTTAAAGTTTTTTAATTTGTATCATTTTTTAGTTACTTGTAGACTTAATTATATAAGGAAATGGGAAATGAGAATATTGTAATTTGTACTAGACAAATATTAACAAACACAGTCCTCTTTCTTTGTGCCACATACAATTTATGAACAGATTTATATAAGATGAATGACCTTACTGTAAATAATTATATTGTGGCGAGATGTCATTATTTACGTTAAACAGAAATAAATGATGACAAAATATGTACATTGAACTGCATTGTATATATTATACAATACAAAAATTCAGTAATTGTATACACTTACTAGTAAATGTTTACATTAAAATTGAAGAAGGTTCAGAAGGTTAAAGAAGATATTGGATAAAAATGAATATGTTTACTATTACTAGTAAATATATACATTTACTAAACAATTCAGTTAAAATATACTGATATAATTTGTGAATTGTAAATCTTGTTGACAAATGGTATATCGATTAAATTACGTGCAATGTGATATATTTTATTAATTAAAATAAACAAAAGCGATTCTTGTTTAAACATCAAACTACTAGTTTCTGTTAAAAAAGTGAAATAGATGTTTAAAGAGATGGTTATTAGTTGATGAGATTCAATGACTATGGTGAAAAAAAGTTTCATATACAGGGTGTACTAAAACCACCGGATATCCTTTTAATCATAGATTCTTTGGAAAATCTCAAGACAAAAATTCTACTACAAAATGTCGAGACTATAATAGTTTTTAAATGATTATATTTCACAAATGATAGGCCTGAGATTTGCCTACATATCCTTGTTTCAACTTAATAGACCTAAAAGTCTTTTATTAAAACCGCGATTTATATAACGTTCGATTTTTTGTAAGACCTTTTGTAGAACTTTGAGAACGCTATACAGAACTCTAGTCAGATCAGCTAGAACTCGTAAAAGAAAATTTTTTCAATAAAATGTAATGTTTAGATATGCTATATTATTGTGGAAATTTGAAAAATAATCAGTTTACAGGAAAATGTGATTAATATTTCGTACAAAAGCCATACGAAAATAGGCAGATCGACGATCTGCGTGCAACTTTGTGTAAACAAATTATTGTTCGAGCACCGGGCTTTCAAAAATGGATTTTTTATTTAAAATTGCCAGAACTGTTGATCTACTTGACACAGAACTGTAGAACTATTGTAAAACTAACCAGAAATCCGAAGAATTTAAACAATTGACTTTTACGATCCGGTGCGCTGCGTAAACTCGGCGCGCCGCCATATTTACAATATCTCGCACACTATTACGTCACTACGCATGCTCGGTCAGTCCGTGCCGCTCCCGTGCAGTGTCAGTTGGTGTCGGTACGACAGGCATTCTAACCCCACAACGCCCACAACTGTCAGATTTTAACGCTTGATAACTTTCTCATCAATGCCGAGCGACGATTTTAATTGCCGCCGTGTCGGCTCAGTGGTCAGTGAGCCGAGTGCCAATAATAAGAATAATTTTAATTGCCGGATCCTTTCGTCTCGTGTTAAAACGCGTCGAGCGAGCATGATTTTGTCGACATGTGAACTGAAGCCCGTATTCTAAATAATTACCCAATAAACAAAGCACGACGGACGTCAATCAAACCGACCGTAGGAAATGGCAAGAATCCCAAACGATTCCGCGCAGCGACCGCGGTATAGTTCAGTGTAATTCATATAGTTGGCGCGAACACGAACGGCAGGTGTATGTGCACATGTACCGACCACACTTGCGAAAGCATCAAACACGAGAACGTACAGAATTAACGAGTCAGACAGGATGTGATTGCGCGAATGACACGCGAGAAGATGTCACGTTTGAAACGCGCCGCCAAGTGACAGCCGAGTAATATTCGCGTCTCGTGACTAGGTATGCCGAGGACGCGCCGTATTGGGGACTTTAGGTGAGGTTATGTCACTCGCGTAGCCCCTCGTTGCCGTCTCGGCAGGCACGAGTCGGCGAAAATATCTCGACACCGCGCTAAAGTACGGCTGATGGCGGAGAACAATCCGTAAACGCTTAAGACTGCCTCGGTCGTAGACGTAGGGCAAGGCAGAGAGAAACGTAAGTCGTATACAATAGCCTTTCACGACTTACGTTTCTCTCTGCCTTGCCCTACGTCTACGACTGAGACAGTCTAAGGTCCCAGTCTACAATAGAGGATTTAAAGCCCTAAGCTTTAAGAAATTGACCAATCACGGTCAAGTACGAGTAGAATACGCGCGATTGTGATTAGTCAATTTCTTAAGGCGAAGGCCCGGTCTACAATGAGTCGTTAGTCGTTAGTCAGAAGTCGCAACTATATGTTGATCCTTTTCCTTTCTGGGTGGAAGAAAAAGGACCGACATATAGTTCCGACTTCTGACTAACGACTAACAACTCATTGTAGACCGGGCGTTAGGGTTTAAATCTCTATTGTAGACTGGGACTTAAGCGTTTACGGATTGTTCTCTGCCATCAGCCTACCTTTCAACAGCGGCGCCGACTCCAATCTGTCACAGGATCGAGTGCCTTTCGCGGCAGCAATGTCGGCGGCATGTCTCTCGTGGTGCTGACCGTGCACAGCAATAAGAATTGAGATGTCACCGTTCCGGAGGAAAAAGTCCGGGAGGTCCTTCCCCGTCAAAGTCTGCACCTTGGACGCAGAGCTCGAATTTAATCTGGAGGTCAGTAAGCAAGTGTCACGATCTTCCATTGAGTTGTGTATCTCGTTGCACTGCCAGCGCATCTCGTAAGTTGAACGAATTTCCTGTGTGTGCAGTGGCGATCAACGGGCAGAGACTTGTTCGATCTGGTGTGCCGCACGATAGGACTGAGGGAGACGTGGTACTTTGGACTTCAATACGAAGATGCCAAGGGTTTTATTTCCTGGTTAAAATTAGACAAGAAAGGTAATTGTAACTCGCCACTTGTTTGTTCAATGAGTCTGGATAGTTGTGATTAATCGTACACTGTTTGTCGTGACAACGCCGAACTGATTGCAGTTCAAGATCAAGGTATTCCGCAGCAACCGACAACGTCGTTCATGTTCTTAGCAAAATTTTATCCCGAGGATGTGTCTGAAGAACTTGTACAAGAAGTTACTCAACATCTGTTCTTCTTACAAGTAAAACAAGCTATATTGTCCATGGATATTTATTGCCCGCCTGAGGCTTCTGTGTTACTCGCCTCTTATGCTGTCCAAGCAAAGGTACATTTTATATAAGCTGAACTATGTGTTTATTATTTATAAGACGTATTATATTTTTGAATGATATAATACGCAGAATGCATTCTAAAAATGTAAATAAACGTATTAGAAACATTCAATATTGTCATCAAGTTAAACACATTTTGTTTGATGATATTAGGTAAAAGGTGAATCAAATCCAAAAACATTGTAACGTGTCTATTAAATAGAATTCTATTTTTAAAGCAACCAGATCTTGGACTTGGTTCACTTTACTTTTGTACGTTTTATATGAATATTGATCTAAAGGCAGCATCAAAAAAGTTAGTTTCTTACAATAATTATGCTCTATGTGTAAGTAAAAAAAATATTTATTTCTATTTTAATTATCAGTACGGCGATTATGATGAGGTTTCGTATCGCCCTGGAATGCTTGCCAGTGAGGACTTGCTTCCACAAAGAGTTATAGATCAATATCAAATGACGCCAGAAATGTGGGAGGACAGGATAAAAATTTGGTACGCCGATCATCGTGGCATGTCTCGAGATGAAGCGGAAATGGAGTATCTTAAAATTGGTCAAGATCTCGATATGTATGGTGTGAATTATTTTCCTATTAGTGTAGGTATATGATATAATAATACCTTAACTGTATCTTTGTGTCTGAGTAATGTTCATTGTGGATTAACTCTAACTTTGGTTTAACTTACTTTTTAACTTTTCCTGGTTGTAAGAAAGCGTTCTTGGAAAAGATTGGAATTAGATGATACAAGGCAAGAAAATTTCTATTGAGATTTTTATTGGCAAAATTTTTTCCCAATGATTACAGCGATACAAGTAATGCATGATTTATGTTCATTTCTGTGAATATAGATTAACTTTAGTCTTGGTTTAATTGGTTTTTCTTTTCTTAACTGAAAATAGATTAAAAAATAAGTTAAACTAAAATTAAAGTTGACCCTTTCAGAACGGAGGCTTTTCCGAAGTAAAAGGTTTGGTCTCTATAGCGACCAGCTCTTCCTAAATAAGTTTAATCTGCGCATTAATTTGAAATCGACATGAATCTGCATTACATCACTATTAGAAAAAAATATTGACGAAAATCTTAATATAGCTTTTCTTGTTTTGTATTATAGAATAAGAAGGAGACAGATCTTTGGCTCGGGGTAACAGCATTAGGCTTGAATATTTATGAAAAGGAGAATAAACTGGCACCGAAGACTACGTTTACATGGTCGGAAATTCGTCATATTAGTTTTGACGACAAGAAGTTCATAATTAAGCCTGTGGAAAAAATATCAGCAAACTTCATGTTCTTCTCACAGAAAACTCGCATGAACAAACTGGTAAAGAAACAGTCAGATGCTAGCAGCTGGGTGAGGGGTTTGATTGCTTTAAAGTTCAACGATCATAATAGTGATACAGCTGCTCACGTATTATTTGTTAAGATCCTAGACTTGTGTATCGGCAATCACGATCTATATATGAGGAGGCGCAAACCGGACTCCATGGAAGTTCAACAAATGAAAGCACAAGCCAAGGAAGAAAAATCCAGGCAAGTAAACGTCCATTCCTTTATAAAACAGTTTGTTTTGTCTTGTGAACATTCTATGTTTGTGAGTGATGTTTCAGAGTGATGTTTGATGAATTTATTAGCCATATTTGATTTTGTAATTAATGTAAATATATTTTGTGAGTAAATACCATTTAATTGGGTCGGCGCGCAGTTTAAACTCAAAAGCAGATGCAAAAATATCGTTAAACTATTTATTGCAATAAATATTATCACATGCCTCAGTGGTCGAATTGGTGAGACACCCGCCTAGAGTGTAGGGAGATCCAAGTTCAAATCCTAGCTGAGGTAATATTTTTCGCACTGAATTTCTTTAATTAGAATTTGGCAGTTGGATCATTTAATAAATTCCTATATTGGTTAATTATTCATTGGCGACAATAAGTTTTTATTCTTGTCAAATACCATTTGATATTTATCCGCTTTATAAAACAGTTATTAATAATTTTTATTCTTAAAAATATAATTTCAAATAATAACAATTTTATAAAATTGTATAAACAGAAAATATTGTACAAAAAAATCGTCTGTCCATAAAAGACAGCATTCTATGAAAACAAAATTATTGTACAAATGTTTCTGGATTTTGAGTGCTTTACTATTCGGCTTTATAAAAATAATCATAACTTTATTAATCTAAGTAAAGAAAATTCTTTTTTAATTTTTTTGATTGACACTGATTTGACTCTTACAGTTAATGTCAATAATCAATCAATAAATAGTATTTTTATGTTAATGTATGCGAGGTAAAATGCTTTGAATAATGTGTAACATTAGACACATCATGAATTAAACAATTATTCTTGTTTTTAATTTGGATACTGATTTATACTTTATAGCTTTATTCATTCAGTTACTGCTATAGTTCTAACAAAATATTTTCTTTTTTTCTGTCGACTTTTTTTTTGTCAATTTTAAAAGGTGACAATTTTAAATATATTTCATATAACGTTTACATATATATTATGTATACAAGATAATAATATGTGAGATTTTCTTCAAAAGTAGGTTCAACATTTAAAAAACACGATAGGAAAATTCATATAAACTTTTCAATCTTATTTCCGAGTTTAGCGAATTTGCTTTTATAGAAGCTCTTATTTATATACCTTTATAGAAGAAGTGTTCAAAATGACTACCTTATATCTCAATATCAGTGTTTTGCCATAATGTAATTATTATGGAATTTCCTCCTTATGGATGACGCAATTATAGCACAATATTTGAGATGTTTTCCTATCGGGGAATATTTATATAATTTTTTAAAATGTTTTGTTAGTACTTAAAAACCATCTTATTAAAGTGGACTTTAGAGATGTGCAAACAAATCACATCAAATCAAGTGAGATTCGGTTCGATACAAATTTGAATATAAATTACGATTTTTCACCTGGAGACACTTACAGAGCATTCAGATTTCCCCCAATTCCCTCTACCAGACTAAAGTGTAACGTTGAAATTATCACTCTATTTATCCTGGAGAGATGTCATCTGGATCCATGAGCTAGATGGAATTTGTGGTGGTAATACACTAAAAAGTATACCAAATACCTCGGAAATTTATTTTGTGCTCTTAGAAATTTTGTAGGTTTTGCTCATCTCATCTGCCCATCCGACAGTTATCCATTGGGTAGAGAATCAGAACACGTATGCATTCAATACAAGTGTTCACTGAGCAGCTAAGTAACAATCAAATGTCATTGATTCTTACCATTGGGTCTAATAAATCACATTCAATTGTTACTTACAATTAATCACTTAGGGAGCAGTTGTGGTATAGTTGTAAATTCATCAATTGATACAAGAGCTGATAAAGAAACATAATGGTAAAAGTTTATTAATAAAATCATTGTTATTTTTCCACGTTAAAATATTCTCTAATTATCTACGTATTAAAATTTAATCTGTATATTAATAATTCTATTTTAACAATTTGATTCGCGCTTTGATTTGGATGGAATTTTATCGATTCGGTTTCATTCGGATTCAAAAAAGGAAATAAAATTTGATGCTATTAGACATAAACAAATTTTTGGTTTGAACATCTCTAGTGGGTCCCATTAAATTATACATATATACATATAAGCGCTATTGGTAAATATCTTTTTTTACTTTTACACATTTTATACGAGACAATATTTTTTTTAATATTTTAAAAGACCATAGTTTAAAAATTCAAGAAAATAAAACTTGCAGAATCTGAATAGACCTTTGCTTAAATAAGATACATACATATAAAATAGAAAAGAAATACACGAGATCTATTCAAAAGATATCTGGACTTGTTTTCCTCAGTTACAGTTTCGATTTGATCATATAATTGGTCTTCTTAATACTTTATTATATTTGGTCTTACTCAAATTGACTAATTTTTTATTTTTTTAATTTAATTTTTTATTATAACAAAATATAAATTATAAATTTTTAAAAATAATTACATAATGTTCTTTTATAAACTTCTTAAACAATAAAAAAATTATAACTTATTATATCAAATCGCAACAGAATTAGTTCACCATGTCGTAAGTTTACTCTGTTGTAAGTATTACAATCAAAGTCCAGATACTTTTTGAACAGTCTGCTATGTATTATATTATTAAGTATACTACGTTTACGGAAATAACATATGCGCTTTCTAATCTGCCAACTAATCTCAAATTGTATCTTATAATCAAATATTTAATCATCTGAATCTCTTTTAAAATATCTATGACCCTTGCCATTTAGGAGGCAAATTGAAAGAAATAAATTAGCACGAGAAAAACAATTAAGAGAAGCAGCAGAAAGGGAAAAGGCTGCGATGGAACAGCGACTTTTGCAATATCAAGAGGAAATAAGACTAGCGAATGAAGCTCTTGTAAGACATGAATAGAAAATGACATAATATATAACATAGAAAAATATAAAACATAGAATTATAAATTTATTTGTATATAAAATGTTTATACTGTGTATCTATTTTACAATTGTTTTTACGTTTTACAGAGAAGATCTGAAGAAACGGCAGATCTTTTAGCTGAGAAAAGTCGTGTGGCAGAAGAAGAAGCAATGCTTTTAAGTCAGAAAGCATCGGAAGCTGAACAAGAAATTACTCGTATACGGCTGAACAACATGAAGACTGAAGAAGAAAAGGTCCATTTAGAACGAAAAACTAGGGAGGCTGAATTATTAACGGAAAGACTGGTTCAAGAATCGGAACGTAGAGCTGCTGAAGCGGAAAAGTTGAAGGATGAGCTATTACGAGCAAGGATCGCAGAAAAAGAAGCTAAAGAAAAATTGTTAGAGTTCCTGAGTAGAAATGCCTACACTGCTACCATAACCGTAAGTACACTTTAACATTTACTACGCACATAAACAGTGCAATTGGAGAAATTGATATATTTTTTATAATACTTAAATCGTTATATATTATGTATATATAAAAGTTTATAAATTGTTTAATTTATCAAAACAGCCTGTGCCAAATCTATTTCCCTCTACGCAAGTGCTTCCATCAGATCTACAAGCAGATCTTCAGACTTTGCAACTAGACGCAGAACCTTTACCACCAGACTTAACATCCTATGATCTTATTGGTGATGGAGATGTTGATCAACTTTCATTAGAGATTGAAAGGGAAAGGAGTGATTATTTGGAGAAGAGTAAACATTTGCAGGAACAATTGCGAGAATTACGTTCCGAAATTGAGGGTCTGAAGGTCGGTGAAAAGCAGTGTGAATTGGATCAGTTGCACGAGGAACAAGTCCGACTCGGCGAGAATAAATACAGTACACTAAAAAAAGTCAAATCTGGATCTACTAAGGCTAGAGTCGCCTTTTTTGAGGAATTGTAATTCTTAAAAGTAGTGTTAGCAAACGTGAATTAATAGAATACTAGTAAAATTCAATTAATACTTAAAAATTAAAAAGATCATACAGATATACATATGCGCATGCACACACACACATACTCACACACCAGAGGGAGGAGCAGCGTATCCACAGACATAATATAGAATACTCAATTGTGCTATATTACAGAGTATTCCATTTCTCGATTAGATTTCTTAATAAATTTGGAACTATCTTATAAAATTTCTGAAGATGTTTCACATATATGTATTGAATATAGAAAATTACATTACATATAAAAACAAGACTGTTCGAAAACATCACTCGCGTGACCTAGTGTATTTTTTATCCTCGTTGCTCACCAAGTGTTAACCACAAATAAAATGATACACTGAGTCACTCGAGTAATGATTTCAAACACTACCTAGACTAAACCAAAAAAAAGACATCTAAAAAATGAATCAGTAATCGAAATCTTTTCACTCTATGGAAAACTCTCTTACTACTGAACTTTACACTCTAATATTCTACCTCTTTAATGATGCTATACTTGTACAAATTTTTTCAGTTTTAAGTTTTTAGTAATAAATTTTTCATTTTCAATAATTCAGGAATGGAACATTCTGTATACATGTACAAAATATGTATATTTTACACTGGTAAAACAATATATAAATATATACAGTAGGATCTCCATAGTCACGGTTTCAGTTATCCGCGGTTCACCATGGTTCTCGCGTACAGACAGTAATACGTTTTATTTTGTTCACGTATGTTCTTTGTATCCAGTCTTTGCACGATCAAGTACTTTAGATATTCTAAACATTCTTGTTCGTTTTTTAAATTAGATATTTATGTACTTTTACATATTTTACATATATATTTGATAGTAATTTTTTTGTTCAATTAAAAATAGTACATACAAATAATTTTAATGGTTATTTTATTACTTGTGGTTTCAGCTATTTGTAATAGACCTTGAAACATATCACCTGCAGATCATTTCTACTATACATATAAATATTCAATTAATTCGCATATGTAAACGTATTACATGTTCGCAAACAAATCAAAATAAATCTATTTTTATATATATATATGTGTATATATGTATATATCTACATTTATACACATGTACATTTTATATTTGTTTTAATATACACTATTTTCTAAAATTGCGATATACCTACATTTTAATATTTACTGTCCATTTATACATATATTTTGTGCACACTTATTAAAAGTAAATTATGTACAACAATACACATAGGAAAATTGTAATATGCAACATTAAAAACAGTTGTAGTTTTGTAAGAGAATAGCAATTGTTATGCTATTACATTGTTACGATTGTGTATAGGAATTAAATGAATTGTAGTGTTTGATGACACAGCTAATAATTAACAAATCACAGTGCCTATATTTTTTATTTACAAAAGTACAATGTGCATATTGCACACATGCGCATACACACGCGCGCACGCGCACAATATATTGACTACACACATTTATCTTAGACATTCATAATTACGTTTGGTACAGGTAGTCAAATGTACAATGTTCTATATATTGTAACAATACTGAATATTATGTACAGTATATGTTTGGAAAGATATTTTTAATTTTTAAAAGTGGATTATAATATCTAAGAATTCTTTATTACCTCACTGTAGCTTCAAGTTAAATCCAATTGTTATTTGTTCATTTTTAATAATTTTATAATAGATTCACAATGTGGATTTTATAACAATGAATAAATATGACTTAAGCATTGGCAGAATTTCAGAAAAATGGAAATAATTTCGAAAATCTGTAAATGTAAGTAAATAATATGATTTAAACATACGTGCATACATACACTTCAATTGCCGAAAAGTGCCTAATTAAATCATACAACCTCTCAAAACTATATAATTTAATGCATATATATATTGTATACATATATATGTATAAATAATGTAATCAATTAATTTAATTATCATACTATGTACATTAATATGACTTATGTTCTAAGGATTGAAGTTAAACACATTTTGATCAGTATTATGAATGACATAAGAAAATATGAATACTATGATTTCGAACTACCATGGTTAGCTTATTTACTTGTTGATGGGTCTTGAAGTGTACAGTCGGGAGCACTGAGGTTGCGACACTTTTTTTTTAATAAGTTTACGAAAGCGCAAAATAATTCAGATCCTGAATATAAACTTATAAAAAAAAAAGTGTCGCAACCTCAGTGCTCCCGACTGTACATTTAGTAAGTTTATATTTTTAATGAAAAATCGGAAGATTAGAAAAATAATGTTACTTGACATTTTTCACAAACTGTTCAATATTCTAAATGAAATTAATAATTAATTTCTGTCGTTTAATGCTCCATTATCTCCGATGAATACGTGTTTATGTGGTGTAATAGTTGCAAATTTACATATTAATTATTGATACCGATTTATCTACCAAATGTTTATATTTTGGAAATAAAATTATCTAAAGCTATTAGAAGCTGTTACATATTTTTAAGAGAAATGTGCCTTGTTATAATAGTTTATTGTGAGTAATTTTAATTTTTTCAGATAGCGTGATATGTACATAGCAGGTAGTTATTCTAACGATAAATACTTAAAATGCATCAGAATTATAATATTTACGAGATTATTTGTTAACAATTCGTATCTAAATTACTTTGATATGCTATTCTGTTCTTTGATAAGGTGTGTTTTATTAGATCGTCATTATTGTAACTGTAATGTGTCTCTATAAAGCCAGATTACTATTTTATCGAAATGTAAGTTTATAAAAATTATTATAAGCATATATTAGTAAAACGTAAAGAGAAGAAGAAGAGCAGATCTATTTTATATATACATATATAATTTATGTGTGTATATATATATTGCCATTTAATGTGCTACAAGTCATAAAAATAAAATGTTGTTTTATAAAAAATCTATTTTATTTACATGTATGTGTACAATATACTAACTGAAAATATATAGAAAATAGCTTTCCTGAAATATGTAACCAGTTCGTAAAATGAATAAAGCCCCCGACTTTGTCTCTCAGTATTTATTATTACATTTAGAACATTATTCCACATGTATGTATATATACACATATGTATATATAAAATTATAAATATTAGACACGTATATTATTCTATATATAGGCGTATTAGATCATCTTCTTTGGCAGGATAATGCGTTACTGGACATCTCTTTTTCATCCGTATTTCTGATAAAATACATTGATAACAGAACACGTAACTATAAAAAAAAGAGACGTAGTTAATTTCTTTTTTTAATAAAATAAAAGAACTTTTATTAGGTACCAAAATATTATCCACTCACCCAGATACCATAAGCACGGTATGTATACGATGAGGTTTACGGCAAAGCGGACAAATACCTTTATATTGTTGCGCTATGTTTGGCACCTATTAAAATAGAGGATTGTATTTTGTTGAGTAATTTAAATAGTCTAATTTTACATAAAGTGATTGTTACGCCAATTTATTTAATGCAGGGTTGAGTAGCGTCTCATTAAAAAGTTATATGATTTTAACTTAACTTAGTTACGTCATAGACTGTTAACTTTTAGTTTAATTTAATTACATTTTATTGGTATTTTTAACTTTTAATTTACGTTTCTTGAAGTTAGCCATGCCATGAACAAAGATACATTGACTGCCTCTACGTTCCAAAATTCAATGCCACCACTAAAAACCTACATTACATGCACTATAGATCTTCAGCGTTGGCAATGAAGCTTAGAACATAGCCATTATGAGGCTTTGTGTAAATCTCTCCGAGATTTTGTGTAACTTTTAATTCAATTGATTTCATTATGGGTTAACCTGTATCTTAACTAAGTTAAAGTTTCAAAGTTAGCTCTTAAGTTAAATCTGTTACCTTTAACTTAACTTAGTTTAAAAAAGACTAACCCAACCCTGATTTAATGTATTTATTGTTACCTTTGGTGGTGGTGGAGCTGGAAGACTCATAATATCCATGTCATAATTTTCCTGGCTCCACCAAGAAAGAAATTGTAAAAAGAAAGCTGCCAGTTCAAGAGATCCAGTGGCAATTCTTTGAAATATATTCCACCCATCACCAATGGTGAACGAATTATATTTTATCTTTCTCAATAATTCGGAGATAGTGAGAGCAGATTGCAGATCAGCGTATGTCAGTGTAACAGATTGCAGCCTCAGCAAAGGCGATGGATACATTGATTTCTCAGACACGTAAAGTATATAATTATATAGTACAAGAGTTTCATATGTTATGAACAGAATTGAGTGTCCTTTAGTAATGCATTTACGAAGAAACCTCTGTCTCCTCTATAATCAATAACATTTAATGTATTAATAATTTACTGCAACACTTTACACGTATTTGAAAATAATGATTATAGATTTGTCTTAAACTTGCCTCCCTTGGTATATTACCATCTGCTTCTTGAAGCTTATATTTTGTACTGAGTTGTGCAAGCTTATTCTTTAAATACGGAAACGTCACAATTAATATTAACGACAATATTTGTTGTTTATATGACAAGTTTTCCTTTAACTTAGAATTAACCACTGTGACACGCTTCAAACCATAAAAGCTTTCAGAAAATGATGCAGCTGAAAATGATATAATAAATATAATCCTTTCTTTTTTCTCGAGAAAAATATTAATACATTATATTGAAGTGTTAAAATGTTTGTGTATACCGTATATTAAAAAGATACTTACAATATCTCCTTAGATAATATCGTTGAAGAAAAACATTAAAAATTAAATAACCTTCATCTGCCCACTCAAGAATATGCCCATATCTCTCAGGATTAAAAGATACAAGAAGCTGCAAGTATCACAGACTCACATGATTAAAAATTCCAAATATACAGAACATAAATATGATTTATACATACAGTAAGGTAAGCAAAATATGATTTATACATACAGTGCTAACAATAAGTGTTTAAACGTAACGAGTAATTACCATTTACAAACGATAAGTTTTCTAAAAAGATCTTTAATTACAAAATATAATTATGTATCTTGTTATATTTTCGTTAATACAAAGATATTTAACGATACATACAGTGATGTATTTGATATAACAAAATAATAATGTATCACAATTAGATAAATGTGTTGTAATAAACACAGTGCGTTTACTAAATTAATTTAAATTAATACTAATTAAATTAAATTTTCAAGTAGTTTTCAAGTATTATACAGTGTGTTACGAATAAAATGCCCATCCGCTCGTATACAAGTGGCTAAACTGAAAAGAAAAGTTATGTACCATTTTGCAAAATTTTCATAGTTATAGAGTAATTAATTAAAACGTCCGAGCGAATAAGAGTCTCATAGCGGTGAGGGACGAGTTGTGAGCATTATCTGAGGCTCGCTACTCGCTGCGTGACTTTATCCACTGCATCGCACCACCTCCCGCTATCGGACGCTCCCCGTTGCTACAAGACTGAACAAATAAGACATTTAACGTGCCTGCCGAGTCCGGCCTAATGCTACGTTCTTATTTATCACTTGAAAACTATTGCAACTTTTACTAAAAGTAGTACACAACTTTTCTTTTCAGTTTAACCCGCTCTACCTATATTCAAGTGGATGGACACCTTATCCGTAACACCCTGTACACAAAAGAAAAAGTGTTATAAGATGTATTTTGAATAATACAATATACCGAAAGAATCTTTTTAAAAGCTGGCTCGAGGGTGGATGCAAGCGATTCCTGCGCAATAATTTCAAAGATAGAAGGCCTGATGTATGTGGTCCCAGTCAGATGAGCACCTTTCTCTGCCATAGTCTGTTTACACGAGAATGTACTTATTAATCTCTCTTAATTAACCAGCATCAACGACTACGTTTCCACCGAGGGTCAGAGTCGGGCTAGAGTCGGGTCAGAATCGGGTTGGGGTGAGCGTTTTTGCGGTGGAAACACCAAACCGGGTCAGAATCGGGTTGGGGTTTGGTGT